TAATTGAAGTATTAGATCTAAGTAATTGAAGTATATTAGGTCTAAGTAATTGAAGTATTAGATCTAAGTAATTGAAGTATATTAGGTCTAAGTAATTGAAGTATTATATCTAAGTAATCGAAGTATTAGATCTAAGTAATTGAAGTATTAGGTCTAAGTAATCGAAGTATTAGATCTAAGTAATTGAAGTATTAGATCTAAGTAATTGAAGTATTAGATCTAAGTAATTGAAGTATTAGATCTAAATAATTGAAGTATTAGATCTAAATAATTGAAGTATTAGATCTAAGTAATTGAAGTATATTAGGTCTAAGTAATCGAAGTATTAGATCTAAGTAATTGAAGTATTAGATCTAAGTAATTGAAGTATTACATCTAAGAATTAATAATATTAATACCTTCAACTGGGTTATCATCCCTTGGCTTATTCCAGGTTAAATGGATAGAGGATGGTGTGGTAGACAGAATCCTAAGGTGTGGAGAACTTGGAGGATCTGGAAAATAAAACATTTCGTGTTATTTGCTGCAGATGTAGTAATTGAACAACATCTATGTAGAAATTGTTTGTTTGTAGTTAAGCAAAGCTACACAATGGGCTATCTGTGCTGTGCCCACCACGTGTATCGAAACCCAGTTTCTAACATTATAAGTCAGTAGATTTAATTTGTATAGTAAAGAGAACACCGAAATTGGTATCAACAGAAAACAAAAAAAAGTCATCTTTAAAAACTTGTAATTCGCTGATGTATTTCTCCATCTCCCGCGTTAAGTGTGAAATCAGAATTTAAGGCTTTGAACCAAAAAAAAGTCGTAATAGAAAATGACAAATATTTTATCAGTGCGTGTTTACCAACATATCATCCTTCAAGACATTTTTCACGTTATGTTCTTCAATAGGTTTCTTTTGTCAGGACAGTTTTGACAATCGCAACACACGCTTCTGAGAAGTCAAATTAGATTTTCTTACGTACCCCCCCCCTGCCAGTTTTGTCAGCCTAAAATATTTTCATACGTTCGTCTCAAAGATTATTCTACACTGTACTTATAGACGTTCACAATAGTTAAGGATTAGCTAATTTTTTTTCTCAATTTGTTTCTGAAACACAAAGGAAAATGGTTGAAAGAGCAGTATGAACAATGATATCGTTAACAAAGATTTATTCGAAAACTGACATTTATATCTATCTATCTATTCGTGTTCGTTGATTCGTCTTTTTTAGCGTTATAAGCCTTCAAATATGTCGCTGAACCATTGGGGGGGGGCACATACATTAACCGTAAAACCACTGTTACTAGAAGAGGGGGAGGTAAATAATATAATCGCGCCAGTTTAACTGGAGCTATTTTTATTTTGTACTTGATTGAAAGAAAGGGTAACTTCACTTGCTGGTTTTAAAACTATTTGGAAGTTCTTTACTAATGTTCATTATATGATTGTAAAAAAAAAACAACCTTTTATTATAGAAGAACAAATATTTCAATCCACGTTTGTTTCTTTATTGAATGTACCATAAAGCTACTCGATGGATATCTGTGCTATCCGTCCCTAATTATGAAGTAATGGACTAGAGGATAGAAGAACAAATTTTTCAATCCACGTTTGTTTCTTTATTGAATTTCCCATAAAGCTACTCGAGGGATATCTGTGCTATCCGTCCCTAATTTTGAAGTGATGGACTAGAGGATAGGCAACTTCTCAACACCACCTACCGCTTACTTTTGGACTACTCTTTTTACCAATAAACATAGGGATCGATCGGCACATTATAACTCTCTCATAGCTGAGAGGGCGAGCATGTTTTGTGATGAGATTCAAACCTGTGCAAGTTTCGTGCCCTAACCACCAGTCCATCACTTTATCTCCACATTAATTTGTTTCTAAGATAAAAGTTGTTATTGGTTAATGAGTTACGTTCTGATAGAAGCAGTATCTATAAGTATTTTTGTGTTCATACTTTTATAACCCAGGTTATTAATTAATGAGTTATGTTATGATGGAAGCAGTATCTATAAGTATTTTGTGTTCATACTTATAACCCAGGTTATTAATTAATGAGTTACGTTATGATGAAGGCAGTATCTATGGGTATTTTGTCTTCATACTTGTAACCCAGGGTATTAATTAATGAGTTACGTTATGACGGAGGCAGTATCTATAGGTATTTTCGTCTTCATACTTATAACCCAGGTTATTGGTTTATTAGCTACGTTTCTTTATTGAAAACATTTTTTAACGGTCTTTTTCCGCACTTACTTTAACTGTTAAAGAAGTGTTTACTAGTACCAACGTTCTAATAGAAAGCATTTCTATAAAAGATATTCCCTAATATCTCAAAAATACGTCTCACATATTCCAATATTCAATCACACAAGAGTTGTTGGTGGATGCTATTAACTAGCTTCCTTCCGACTACTAGGGACGATTATGTCTAGCCCTTTATTTAGCCTTGTGGGGGAATTCTAAATTCAACAAAATTGAAGCGATAAATGATGTCTGTATCCATCCTCACCTACAGCCCAGAAAAAAATGACTTCACTGACCATTTTTTTGACAAAAGACATTTCTATAAAATAATTTTGTGTCCTTAATAAACCAG